CATTCAGAGTCGACAGACTGTTTCATGCGGGACACAATTGTCAGGCCTGACGATTGCATCCAGAATTAAACAGCCTGTCGCCTCTGAGTGTTGATTCAATGTTCACTTTATATTTATATTTACATACTCTCTATCTCTGATATTTAACCCATAAATATAGCACAACTTAAAACTATATATATATATATATATATATATATATATATATATATATGGAAAATGTTGAAATGTAACCCCCTTTTTTCTTTTGTTTTTTGTTTCTTTCTTTCTTTCTTAATGATTGAATTCTTCCTTCTATGTTTCTTTATCCTTCCTCCCTTCCTTTCTTTCTAATTTTTCCTTCTTTCATTATTTCTTTCTTTCTTTGTCATTTAATATTTCCTTTTTTCTTTTCCTTTCTCATTTCATTTCCTTCTTTCTTTCTTTCTTTCTTTAATTTAATTTTTCTTCCTTACTTTTTTCTTTCATTCCTACTCCACACTAATATAATTTTTCTATCTTTATATTTCCGTCATTTAATTTTTCTTCCTCTGTTTTTTTTTAATTACTGATCCCATAGAAACTTAATTTTCTATTTTTCTTTCTTGAATCATTTAATATTTTTCTTCTTTCATTTTATTCTTTACAACCATTTAATATTTTTCTTCCTTTTTTCCTATATTCCATAAATATTTAATTAACTCTCCCAAACTCTGTTCCGCCATCTTTTTACCGAAGCTTGCTAGATAGGTTGTGTTTTTTTTTCTTCTGTTCCTCTTGCCTTCAATCTGTTCTCTATCAGATTTTCCATAACCTCTTTCCTCATTATGTAGCCTAGAAATTTTAACTGTCACTTCCTGATATTAAGTAAAAGTGTGCTTTTTGTTACCATTTTCGTTGTTGCTCACGCGTTCTGTTCATGATATTTTCGTCATCCTCAGACAGAACCACATTTCTGTTGCTTTAAGTCTCTTCTTCATCTGAGAGGAGATTGTCCAGCATTCACTTACCATATAGGATGACTGATATTACATAACAGTTTTTATTTGACAAGCACATATTTTCAAGTACTTCTTCATCTATATAGAGATTGTCCAAGTCTCATAGCTTACGAGGACTGATATTACATCTTTTCTTTGTAGAACCACATTTCTGTTGCTTCAGCATCTGTGAGGAGATACCAGCGTCCATATAGAATGACAGTTCATATTTGTACAAGCAACATTGTTCTCTTCTTCATCTGTGAGGAGACACATGGAACAGATATAACGAACAGTTCTTAGGACACATGGAACTAGAAGCATTCTAAAGCTAAATAAAGGGTTAAGTTCGACATTCTAATCACCTAAAGAAGGCCGGGGCTTTCAACGACCGAAACGTTGTGATAAATATGGTAACAAAGATGAGGACAATTGTTTGAATAATGAAATAAATATGGAAATAACAAATACTGAAGGACAATTATGGCAACAAAGTAATGTAAATAGTGTACATTGAATAATTGAAGGATCGGATAAATATGGCGACAAAGATGAAAATAATGTAAATAGTGTACATAATACCTCATCTCAGAAATATAGACATCGGATAAATATGAGAAAGTCCGAATAATGAAATAAACATAATACCTTATTTCAGAAATATAGACAGATACTGAAGGATCGGATAAATATGGCGACAAAGATGAGGACAATAGTCCGAATAATGTAAATAGTGTACATAATAATCTCAGAAATATAGACAGATACTGAAGGATCGGATAAATATGGCGACAAAGCTGAGGACAATAGTCCGAATAATGTAAATAGTGTACATAATACCTCATTTCAGAAATATAGACAGATACTGAAGAATCGGATAAATATGGCGACAAAGATGAGGACAATAGTCCGAATAATGTAAATAGTGTATATAATACCTCATCTCAGAAATATAGACAGATACTGAAGGATCGGATAAATATGGCGACAAAGATGAGGACAATAGTCCGAATAATGTAAAATAGTGTACATAATACCTTATTTCAGAAATATAGACAGATACTGAAGGATCGGATAAATATGGCGACAAAGATGAGGACAATAGTCCGAATAATGTAAATAGTGTACATAATACCTCATCTCAGAAATATAGACAGATACTGAAGGATCGGATAAATATGGCGACAAAGATGAGGACAATAGTCCGAATAATGTAAATAGTGTACATAATACCTTATTTCAGAAATATAGACAGATACTGAAGGATCGGATAAATATGGCGACAAAGATGAGGACAATAGTCCGAATAATGTAAATAGTGTACATAATACCTCATCTCAGAAATATAGACAGATACTGAAGGATCGATAAATATGGCGACAAAGATGAGGACAATAGTCCGAATAATGTAAATAGTGTACATAATACCTTATTTCAGAAATATAGACAGATACTGAAGGATCGGATAAATATGGCGACAAAGATGAGGACAATAGAATAATGGACAAATAGTCCTCAGAAATAAGACAGATAAATCGGATAAATATGTAAAGCAGGACAATAGTCCGAATAATCTACATAATACCTTATTTCAGAAATATAGACAGATACAGATCGGATAAATACGACAAAGGAGTCCGAATAAATAATACCTCATCTCAGAAATATAGACAGATACTGAAGGATCGGATAAATATGGCGACAAAGATGAGGACAATAGTCCGAATAATGTAAATAGTGTACATAATACCTCATCTCAGAAATATAGACAGATACTGAAGGATCGGATAAATATGTCGACAAAGATGAGGACAATAGTCCATATAATGTAAATAGTGTACATAATACCTTATTTCAGAAATATAGACAGATACTGAAGGATCGGATAAATATGTCGACAAAGATGAGGACAATAGTCCGACTAATGTAAATACTGTACATAATACCTCATCTCAGAAATATAGACAGATACTGAAGGATCGGATAAATATGGCGACAAAGATGAGGACAATAGTCCAAATAATGTAAATATTGTACATAATACCTCATCTCAGAAATATAGGCAGGTACTGGAGGATCAGATAAATATGGCGACAAAGATGAGGACAATAGTCAAAATAGTGTAAAACGTCGAGCGAAAGTTGAATCAGTTAGTATAAAAATGGAGACAAAAATATTAATTGCAAAGCAACCATATGATCAAATAATTTTGAATTGAATCTAAAATTGTTTCTTCTTCTGTTCTCTTTTCTTTTATGTTATTCCTCCGCAGACCGTAGCACAAAATAGCCTGATTGAATGCGTTTTCGGTCAAACTATTTTTCAGGAATGTAGGTTGGACGTGGACATTTCAGACCGGACTTGGACCGAATTTTCAAGTAAATTTTGGTGTCGGACTGGACTGATTCCTTCCAACAGAGTCCCACTTCAACCTCTGGTCATAGACACGTAAGTCTAATGAGTTGACTCGTCAGTCTAATGAGTTGAGTCGACTCATTGGCATCAGTTCTCGCAGGCCGGTCAAAATCCCTTCGCGGGCCGGATCCGGCCTGCAGGCTCTAGGTTGCCAGATCCGGCCTGCAGGCTCTCGGTTGCCGACTCCTGGTCTAATGAAACCGTAATTAAAACTTGAGCGGGGCACGGTACATTCCTCATATTTTTTATCTTTATTTCTCTAGTACGCGTAATGTGACGTATTCGAAATATAGCATATTTTGAGTTTCCTGATGTCTTTTAAGCATTAAGTTATGTGAAAGGATCATAAAGAATGGTGATTTTAAAAGAAAACAATAATTGCGCGCAATATAAATGTAAACAAACGACGGAGATCTGTTGCGTATACGAAGAAAGATTATACCGATTTAAGGTGTCGAATAAAGATAAAATAATTTTATTATTTCTAAATTCTCATAACTTTTATGCATGCTGAATATAAAAGGCCAAAAGACCAAAAGCCAAGAGCTAGCCTAAAATCTGCCTGAAGGCCGGCTTCTAGGCTAGTCTAAAATAAAATAAAAACATATCTACTTATCTGACAATGATTACGTTCCTGTACTCATATATGGCAATAAGTGAGAAATCAAAGAAAACACTTCAAGTTATGAGATAGAAAGTCATTGTAACGATCATTTTTCTTGCAGACGGTCTTGGATGGGGTTTTCGGTTGCGCACTTAAATATGATCCGTTGTCCGTTGAATATGGATCGTTGCAAGTGGGTGAGTCGTCAGTGGGAGAGAAGTGAACTACGTTCTTTAAGTAAAAAGAAGGAAAGGTTCTTTTTTTTTAAGTATCGAAACACTTATTCTTTATCTGAATATTATCTGAAGGTCGAACTGTCATGTCAGCCGAGAAAATGAGAAATGGAAAAGGGGAGCGGTAGAAGTGGGAAGAAATGAAACTTGACTAACAGAAAGAAAGAAATTAAATAATAATGGAATAAAGGAAGAAAAATATTAAACGGCTGGAAAGAAAGAAGTGAAAATGAAATGATTAAGAAAGAAAGAATGAAAGAAAGAAAAATTAAATGATGAAAAAAGAAATAAAAAAGAAATAAAAAAGAAAGAAAGAAAGAAAGAAAGAAAGAAAGGAAAAAGGAAGTAAGAATGAAAGGAAGAACGAACGAAAGAAAAATAGGATGAAAGGAAGAAAGAAAGAACGAAAGGAAGAAAGAGCGAAAGGAAGAAAGAACGAAAGAATGATAGAACCAAAGAAAGAAAGAAAGAAAGAAAGAAAGAAAGAAAGAAAGAAAGAAAGAAAGGAAGAAAGAAAGGAAAAAGAAAGTAAGAATGAAAGGAAGAACGAACGAAAGAAAAATAGAATGAAATGAAGAAAGAAAGAACGAAAGGAAGAAAGAAAGGAAGAAAGAAAGGAAAAAGGAAGTAAGAATGAAAGGAAGAACGAACGAAAGAAAAATAGAATGAAAGGAAGAAAGAAAGAACGAAAGGAAGAAAGAGCGAAAGGAAGAAAGAACGAAAGAATGATAGAACCAAAGAAAGAAAGAAAGAAAGAAAGAAAGAAAGAAAGAAAGAAAGGAAGAAATATTAAATGTTAAAGTAACAAAAGAAAGAAATAAACAAAAAGAAAAAAGAAAGAAAAAGAATGAAAGAAATCAAATGATTAGGGAAGAAAGGAAAGACAAATATTAAATGGATGGAAATAAATAAATAAATAAATAAAGAAAGAAAGAAAGAAAGAAAGATTGAGATAAAGAAGAAAATATTAAATGAGTAAGAAAGAAAAATTAATTTCTACGAAATAGGAACGAAAAAGAGTAAGAAAAATTAAATTATTGAAAAAGAAAGAAAACAAAATTAAATTACTGCAGAATAAGTACGAAAGAAAAAAGAATGAAAGAAAAAGTAAATTAAAGAAAGAAAAAAATGAAAGAAGGAAAAATGAAATGACAAAGAAAGAAAGAAATTATGAAAGGAAGAAATCTTAAATCATTAAGAAAGAAAGAATGATGGAAATATTAAATGATAAAGAAAGAATGTAATTAATTAATTAAGAAAGAAAATAATGTAGAAAGAAAAAAGAAAGAAAGAAAAAGAAAGTAAGAAAAATGAAAGAAAAAAGAAAGAAAGAAAGAAAGAAAGAAAGTAAAGAATAAATAATTTGCAAAGTAAGGAAAGACGAAGAAAATAATATTAAATAGTAAAGAAATAAATAAAAAAAGAAAGAAAGAAAGAAAGAAAGAAAGAAAGAAAGAAAGAAAGAAAGAGAAAAAAAAAAAGAATACAAGCCCGGGAGCCAAAACAAAAAACAAAAAGTCAGATATCAATGTACATTTTTTTTTCTAATAAAACATTTTTAAAAGACAGAAGCTAATACCGAAACGAAAAAGAAAATCTGGTCTGGTGATTCTGCTATGTATATGGAGATTCGTGATAAAATACAAAAAAGAATATGCAATGTTATTGGTCCTGGTCTGACATCTCGGCTTCAGTCCCTTTCCCACCATCGTAAAGTATCTTCCCTCTGCCTTTTCTACAAATATTTTCATGGTAATTGTTCGGATGGACTTTCCTCTACGGTACCTAGACTTTACGAATTTCACCACAATAATGAAGGCCTGGTGAATCTGATACTCACAGGTCGAACAGAGAGAAAAAGAGACAAAGGAAATCAACGCATGACACGCCTCACAGGCTTAAGCAAGTGGATGACAGAAAGTGGTCTGGGAGAGTTGGCAGAAGCACGAAACTTATTGAGAAGCACAAGGGATAGGGAGAAGTGGAGAGCCATGATCGCCTACGGCCTGAAATGACATGGTACATAAAAAGAAAGACTAGATTGGCGGCAAGGTCTCATCATTTTGTAAGTTGAAATGGCTAGATGTAACCGTAAGTTCTATGGTAAAAATTTCTTCTCTCACAATTCTCGCTTGTGGAATATTCTTCCGGTTTTCCAGTCAATTTTGATCTTCAAGAATATAAATGCGACGTCAAGCTTTATCTTCTGTCTCCTAATTTTGTTCTTTTATTGTTCACTCTCATTAATAATTTTTTTTCACATTATCTAATACTCAGTAACCCCTTGCGTCTTAGTAGTTTTATTGTCTTGATTGGGGTGAAATGATTTAAAAAAAAAAAACCCAACCGCTATACTTCGATTCTAAAGACATACACCTCTACTTAAATAAAGTCCTTACTTTGTTCTAGAGATATCAAATTGATTTCTGTTCTTTTATTGTCCTCTTCTTAATTATATATATATATATATATATATATATATATATATATATATATATATATATATATATGAAAGAAAAAATAAAAAAAAAAACAAAATCTGAATATGCATTTATGTAGTATTAATGTTAAAATAAAGTCGACGTCAGACGTTTCGGTCTATTTAAGACCATCTTCATGGACATTTTCATTTAAACATAATGAACATTATAACTTATAAAAATTTAACACAAAAGACGATGGACATAAGAGCCCAAATAATTCAAACAGATAACTGAAGTTTTATACAGATCAGCGTTCTGTTTAAATATGATCACGTAGTCGTCACGTGGGCGATGTTGTTAAAACGTATTCGAAGATGATTTACAAAATTAACATCTGACGTCGACTTTATTTTAACATTAATACTACATAAATGCATATTCAGATTTTTGTTTTTTCTGTATTTTTCTTTCATACTGTCGGATTTATATCCATATATTTGCTTACATATATATATATATATATATATATATATATATATATATATATATATATATATATATATATATTATCTCCTCCTCCCCCAATACAAAAGTACGCTTGAGAGAGATATGAAATTAATCCTCCTAAACTCTACCATGTCTCTTTAACTACTCCTTTTACACTCTCTGTTAAATTACAAAGACTCACACTACCCATCAATTTTAATTTCATTTTTCGTAGTGCTATCTGATGATCTGGCGTCCTTTAAAAGGGCTCTAGTGAAATAAATTATTATAATGTACCTTAAAGTGGTCTGTTTTTCTTTTACATTATATATATATATATATATATATATTGCCTTTTATTCTCTCAGACTCAGTCACCCCATGTGTCTTAATAGTTTTATTACCTTGCTTAGGGTGAAATGATAAAAAATACGAATAAAAGTCACGTGCAGAAGTTTGGTGATGTCTGGGGCCAACTCCTTGATTGTATGACCCTAAGACTTAAGTAGGTGTGGTGAGGAGAGCTATAGGTCTTAGTACTGAGAAATGTGAGAAAGGAAAATATTTTAAATATATAAAAACAGATGAAACATGAAATTAAACACTTTATTCAAATTAGATATAAACTAAATTTTTATTTCACTCTTTGATTGGATGCCCTCCCGAATTGGATGTCCGGGGCCGTCGCACCCTCCCCATCCACAATTTCTGCACGATGCTGACAAGGACGGATGAAAATTCGACCCACAAAGAAAACAACAAGGACACAAATCTGGAAAACCAAGAAGTGAAAATTTAATATATATTAATATATCCTAAAAAGAAAGAAAGAAAAAAAAACAAAAAAAAAAAAACGAATATGTGAGGAAAGAAAAAGAAGACGCGCGTTTAAACAAATTTTTATTTTTTCTAAGAAATCTGATCGACAGTATTCGAGCAACAAAGAGAAAATTGTTGTTCAAGTATCAAAACACTTGTGCTTTATCTGAAAATTATTTGTCCGTCGACATGTCATTTTAGATGAGAAAATGAAAAAAGTGGGAGACAGAAGAGGGAAGGGATAAGAATTGACAGAGAAAGAAAAAGACAGAAAGATCGAAATATTATTAGAGAGAAATAAATAAAGAAAGAATAATGAAATGATTAAGATTGAAAAAAGAAAGAAAGAAAAGTGAAATGGTTAAGATTGAAAGAAAAAAAGAAAAATGAAATGATTAAGATTGAAAGAAAGAAAAAGAAAGATGAAATGGTTAAGATTGAAAGAAAAACAGAGAGAATATATATATATATATATATATATATATATATATATATATATATTTAAGCATCTCACCCCAAGCAAGGCGGGCAGCCACTAGCACGCAATGGGTTACAGAGATTTGGAGCGAGAGAAAATAGGAGTGATAGAGGAAAGGATGAAGAGAAGGATAGGGGATAGATCAAGGCATCTTGAGACGTCGGTTGACATCACATTTGAATAGTTGGAGATTATAGCTATCAGGGAAACAGGAAAAGGGGAGGGAGTTCCACAGGCGAGAAGTGCGAGACATGAAGCTATTGGAATGGAAGAAACGGCTACATTTAACAGGGTTAGAGCGAGATGCCAGCCTAGTTGAACGCTTAAATTCATGAAGTCTGGGAACCAGCGAAAGCAGCTCATCGTAGCAGTTACCGTAAAAGTATTTGTAAAAAAAAAAAAAAAAGACAGAGGGAGGCGACGGCACGTCTGTGGGAGAGCGACTGCAGACGAGATATCAGATCAGGGTCAATGTGTCTGTTTAGTAATATTACGTATATGAAGTTAAATAAAAAAAATCAGAAGTGCCTTAGCTTATTTCACCTGTTCTCGTGGAACCCTTGGGGACTTTTGGGGAACCCCGGTTGAGAAACGCTGTGTTAAACTAATGGACAAAATGTTTATTTATTTACGCATATTGTTTTCTGTGGGCTGCCATCTTTTGTTGTTAACATCTTTACTTAAAGAAAACAAATAAATCAATGTCGACAATAAAGAGAAAGCAAATCTCAGATTGGATTATATTTCTTCATTTTGTGATTGACGCAAAGATAATGTTCAGAATATGCTTGAATGTCGCTCGAGAATGCCGACAGATCATTTGTAAGACAAGAGGAGTTCAGCGGTTATTTGGCGAGATCTGTCTTGCTTGATGAGATGCACAGTCAATCAAGGGAGACAAATGAGGATTATCTTGTATGTTAAACAGCCACCATCTTTCCTGGACACCTTCCACCATTTTGGTTGTTCGATATCTTGGTGCAGTTGCATCACAGAGTAGCCCTTGGCTCGACAATCGTCCTCCCTTGCAATTCTCGCTGACCAAGTGAAATAATCTCTTTAAACTGTAGTCATGCATGGACGAGCACACGGCTCGAGACAGGGGCCTCACCGACCAAATGTTCACGCTCAACAGTTTTAATTAAATGTGGGTCGTGAATTCAGCGGTGCTGATTGTGAAACCAAATGTTTGACCCCTTTCGATCTGGCTCAGCCGCTGTTGGCTTTATGCGACATATATTAATCTGAAATGGACGGACAATTAAAGAGTCGGCTTATCTGCGGTGGGCCTAATTCAAATGTGGCAGGGTATCATTTTGGTCTTTTCCAATCTCTGACCTTTTCTCATTACAAGTCTGGGAGCCAACGCTGGCAGATCTTTGCTTAATTAGAAAAGGCATCGAATAAGAAAATTGCTTGTCCGTGTTGAGATATAACCGATGATAGGATTCTTGTGGCTGGGCAAAGGAAAAAGTACAACCAAAAACAAAGAAAGGAAAAGGAATTGAAGAAAAAAACAAAAACAAACAAAAAACAACAACAAACAAACAAGCGCGGGAATAAACACAGTAAAGGCGAAAATGGAGGAAAGGATTGAAAAACAGACGACACATAATGAGGGATTGAGGGAAGGAGAAAAAAGAGAAGAAACATGGGTTTGGCATGGGATTTCGAGTGAAGAAGGTAGACAAAAGTCAAAGTAATAGTGAGGGTAAAAAAATTGGCATAAAAATGAAAAACTGGCGAAAGCTATCGGGGTTGGGTAGATTGAGCAGCTACTGGTTGAAGTGAGGGTAGGCATCGGGTAGAAATGATATAAAATGCTTAAAAGGTAAAAAAAAAAAAAAAAAAAAAACGTAATTAAAGAATCCGAGAGAAATAGACTTAACGGACAAACGGGGAGGATTTACAGGTAGATCAATGGAGGAGAAGGAAAGAAAGAAATTAATGACTAAGTGGTGGAGAGAATGAAAAAAAAAAAACAAAATAAAAATGTGTTTATAAATGAATAAAAGAAAAAAAAGATACTTTATGAATGAATAAATAACAGAATAAAATAAAAAAAAACGAACGAATTTATGAATTAAATAAAAAGAAATGAATGAACGAAAAAGAATGTGAAAGAAAGAAATCAATGAATAAGTTAATGAACGAAAAATCCAGAAAAATCTAAGAGTTTATGGATGAAGTAAAAAAGAAGGAGGAAAAATAAGGGAATTTATTGATGAAAGAAAAACGAACGAATTTATGAAAGAAAAGGGAAAGATATAACAGAAAAAGAAAGCACTCAATGAATTAAAGAAAAAAAAAGAAGAAAGAAATTGGTGAATAAATTAATAAATGCCAAAAGGAAATGATGTAAGAGTTTATAAATGAACTAAGAAACGAAAAAGACAACATAATAGAATTTATGAATGAAAGAAAAGGGAACGAAAGAATGAAAATAATAAAGGAATGAATGAATAAAAAGAATAAACTATTTTATGAATGAATGAAATAAAGAAAAAAATGAACGAATTAATGAGTGAATTAAAGAAATAAATAAAGAAAAGAATGAACGAATAAAACGAATGAACGAATGAACGAATGAATGAATGAACGAATGAATGAATGAACGAATGAATGAATGAAAGGAAGAATAAAAAGAAAAATGACAATGATCAAAATTATGAATGAATGAATGAATGAAAGAAAAACATTGGAAAAAAAAATGAACGAAGTTAAGAAAAAAGAAAAAATCTACAGAATTGTCAACGGAAGAAATAAAACAAGCAAAGAAAGAAAAAGAAAGAAAAATGAATGAATTTATGAAGGAAAGAAACCAAGAAAAAAATTAACAGAATTGTGAATGAAATAAATAAAAACAAAGAAAGAAAGAAAAATAAAGAAAAATGAACAATTTATGAAAGAAAAAAAATTAACAGAATTATGAATTAAAGAAATAAAACAAGGAAAGAAGTAAAAAGAAAGAAAAATGAACGAATTTATGAAAGAAAGGGAAAGAGCGAGAGAAATGCCAGGAGAAATAAAAGAAAGCAAAGAAAAACAGAATGAAAACGGAAGAAAACAATAAAAAGGCGGTTTTGGGGGTGGGCAGCAGTTGAATATTTCCTTTTGCTATGAAGATCCCTAATTACAAAATGCCATGCAATATTCATAACATTCAATGTTACTATGGCGACCCTCTTCTCCACGTTGAAGTCGCCTAAATGGTTTGCGGAAAAATTTAATTGCCGGCCGCTGAAATCCTTCATTGCGACTGTGTCTCAAGTCAGACTCGTTACTTTGGTTGGAGATAGACACCGCTCGCATTTCCTTTCCCAATCCAACGTTGCATTCTGACTTCATTTTCTTTTCTTCTTCACTGGATCGTGCAGTTGGGCTGACAGGATATCTTAATGCCATTAATTGCTGGAGATATGTCTGGAGATACCTATTTCCTTGTTTCTGCGTTCCGCCAGCTTCGTACTGGATTATTTCCCACCCCCAATTTGCCACACGTGAAACTACCCACCCACTTCATCGATAGCCATATTTTGTTTTTATATTTAACCTTTAGCAGACACTTATTATTAATTCCATTTTTAAAGCATTCTTTTTCAAGGCCTCTCAATTGCAGGATCATTATAGTTAATTTCACTCAAATTTGTTTTCTGTTGCCATAGCGAAATGGGTTGAAATTGGGAAAACGGTTCATCGTCCACAAGGCCGTGCACACGCTTTAGAAGTCACCCAAGGCTGGAATGTGATAATTTGACAGATCCTCCTCCGATGCGACAGGAATACTCCATTTTGGTTTGATCTGGCTCTTGTCGAGCATAGAAGGGAAGCCCGATAATGGAATGGTAAAGGGAGTCGGCCATTTCTGTAGAATTTTTAGCGATTTTAAATTTGAGTTAAGTTTAAGTGTGGCAGGGGCGATATCACCCCTGAAAAAATAATAATGATAATAAGGGTGGATATGCTGTAAAACAGAAAACACCAAGTGAAAGAGAGGCATTTCGATGTTAATATGCTGTAAAGACTTTGAAATGTAAATGTTACAGAAAATTAATTTAGAACACGAAATACAATCTTTTGTAAGAGTACAAAGGATATCAGATTACAAATAGAAAATTACTGGAACAATAATAATTTGGAACTTTTAAACAAAATAATGGATTTTAACACTATAAGAATCGAAGTTAAAATTAAGGATGTTTTGATCTAGAATTTATTTTTAAAACAAGAATCTCTGTAGTTTACAAAGAGCAGCAGAATAAATAATGGCGAGGTGATAAACAATAGCGTCTTTTGAATCTTGGAAACCAATCGATGAAAAAGTAAATTGTTTATTCTTGGAGGAATGAAGTTGTACTTTGGTAGTATGTCAGTAAGTTTGCACTAGAAAAACATATACGTCACCAGTCTGGGACACGGAGGCCAGGTCTCTTGATGAAAAGGTAGGCCAGCCGGAGAGAGAGAGAGTTTTTTTATTCGTCTGTTTTCTAATGCAGTTGAACTGAGTAGAAAGACGTCAGATATTGAAAAGGAAGCGTCTGCTATGCGTTGCTGAAGCTGAGAGTGAAGAAGCGAAATACCGACGCTAACATCTAAGTATCGCTACTCCTGTTACTACTAATACTATTACTGAGAACGGGAACATTGAAGGTTGTAGTAGTTGCGCTAAGAATAGACCAAAAGGGGTTAAAGCGAAGGCCACATCTCTCCTTCACCGAATTATTTCGAAGTATTTGTGTTTGTTTGGTTATTGTTCACATACAAGAAACATTCAACCTTGTGCAACAGGAATTATTATTTTTGTGTGTTTGCTTTTACATATAAAAAAAACAAAACTTTTCTCCGTTCAAAATCGAATCGACTTGGTTATGTTTATTTTTCTGTTAACCCGATTCTCACCCGAAGAACTCGCAGGTGAACCAATGGAGAGCTCCCGGATTTCTGCGATCTGATGACCAATCTCCAGGATCAAAACAGTCACAACATGGCTGGAGGGTGGCTTCGAATTGACACTGGGAACCGGAGACTTGTGTCTAATCTGTAATACTGGACCATATTGGACCAAAGGCCGGTTTTGTGGAGTGCGAGGGTCCAGTGGGGTGAAGATACGGTGTCACGTAAGTGTCTAATAATTGTTTTTCTTTTTCTTTGAGATCTAGAAAATTAAGTCTATGACAATTTCAAACATGGAAAGATTAACAATCAAAAAACGTGTTAAATGTATCGAACTCGATTACAAAAATGGACGTTCAAACAGAAATGCAATGATAAGTTCCCAGGTCGCATCATCTATCGAAACAGCGAAGTCAATTGGCCACCACGATCGTGCGACTTGCCGCCTTTAGATTTCTTCCTTCGGGGTCATCTAAAAAGTAAGGTCTATGCTAACAAGTCAACAACTGTTGAAAGATGAGATAATAAGACATGTTGGTGAGCTCGAGGAGCAACTATGCTGAGAAGTCATCAAAAAGTTTGACTATCGAGTTGAGGTGCGTCGCTGAAGCCTTGGTAGACATTTGAGCGATATTATTTTTCACACATAATTTTAATAACACGACCCAATAGAGAAATAAAGAAAATTTCACCAATAACACTTATTTACTGCTGACTTTGATCCGTCTTAATGAAACACCTTTACAACCGTTTCTTCTTAACGTTTTTTTTCCCCAAGTAAGGCTATTGTTGTGGTGTCCTCCCTCTAAAGAGTCTATGTTGGACTCTTCCGCCTACTATAAGATTAGTAGGAGAGAAGGCTTTCTGGGGGGAACAGTCGATTAGATTGAACGCTGTGTCAACCGACACACACTCACTCTTCTGTGGTACCTAATCTTTAATATATGATATATCTGTAACACTTGTTTTGTTATTTCTTTAACCACTTACTTGGTCACAACAGCTATAATGCCACTAAGCTTGTGGAATAGAAAAAAATGTTTCATGGAGCAAGATCAGGTGAAATGAGAGCTATGGGCGATAGAGGGATAAGCGGATTGTGTTAACATTTACCAAGATATGTTGGGAGAATATAGCTGTAATCTTAGCTTTCTGCAACCATTGTATTGTTTCACATGCGAGAATCAGGGCAAATAGTGACTGATTCAGCAATGCACCTGAGCATCCGGCATTTCTGGGGCAAGAAGAACATTGCTGTACTAGAACAACCTCTCTATTCACCTGATTTGACTCCGTGTGACCTTTTTCTATTCCAGAAGCTCAAGGAGATTATCAAGGGGACCCGTTTTGAAAGCATGAAGGTCATCAAGAGGGCCGTAATGACGGTGCTGAGGGGCATCCAAGAAGAGTGTATTAGACTCGATGGGGATTACTTTGAACGGGAATCCATGTAGTTTTTTTGTTTGGAATAAGTAAGCAACGAGATGTTTAAATGAGTAAAACATTTCGTTGCTTAGTTATTCCAAAAATCGCTTGAGGATCGCTGTCATCCAACAGTTAAGGTTTAATATCGAAATTAAACTTGAATATGAGTGACTATTTACGAAACAGTAATTTCTGTGTCGCGATGGAATCATATTTTTTTAAAAATAAGGATTGATATATTACGTAATTACTATATATGTATATATCATAATTAAGTAATACATCGAGTCTAGAAAAAACCTCAACAGAATGCAGAACGCACTGGACGGCCGTTTCGTCGTATATTTGGGACTACACCAACAACGCGCATCCACTACCGAGAATCGAAACCGAACAGTTACGATAGGAGGCAAACACCATACCAACTGCACCAACGGTTAACGGTGCCGAAGTAGTAACGAATTATACTTGATATAGCGCCGCTCGATCACAAATTCCGTGGGGGAACTTCTCCGAGTTTCTCTTTTATCCATAGGACTGTGCCTCCTCTCTCTCCCTCCCCCCTCTCTCTCTCTCTCTCTCTCTCTCTCTCTCTCTATATATATATATATATATATATATATATATATATATAAGGCACAGTATATAGATATATATATACTACCCGGAGTTTCATGCTCAACTCCGAGTTGTACTGTCGGCCTAGTGTACTATGTATATTTATTAATCTGTACTTAATAGCTCTGTTATTTACCACTTTTTCTTACACCAAAGGATATATATATATATATATATATATATATATATATATATATATATATATATATATATATATATATATACGCTTTATTTGAACACTTCCCCGTTCATTTATTTATATTTATCCATTTGAGTTCAATTGATATATTCTTGAGAGACAGCCTAATTCTACAAACAGCAGCCGCCTACGCTAAAACGCAAAGGCTCTTCGGTAAGCTCTTCGTAAAAACAATACGCTAGAATTAGCAGTTTCTCTCCGCCGAGTGCTGATGGCTTAGGGATAGAAATTCCGAGTGACACCAAGCAGGTCGGTTTTCGATCCTGGTTTGAGGCTTTCGGACATCTAATCCTACTGAGGAGCTGTGATACAGCAAAACAGTACTCTCTTCGAATGGTATATATATATATATATATATATATACATGAACGCACAACTGTAAAAAAAATTTAAAATCAAACTCAGCGTTGCTATTGCACGCTCCAAAACAATAACTCATTTCAATAGCATTTTCGGATACAACAATACATATATTTTCGTTGTCCTCTTATTACTAAGAGAAAAAACAAGAACAACATCTATTCCATACCTGAAGATGTCTGTAGGAACAGACGAAAGCTTGTAGTAAAAATAAGAACTAATGCGGCAGGAATTTATAGAAACAAGGATCTTTTCATTCATAACGGATTCGGAGGTTTTTGTATATTATTTGAATTGTTTGCGACGATGGATTTCTCGCCAATTAAATCATTAACCTTTGCATTTGTTTTTGTGTGAATAATTCATGAATATATATATATATATGTGTGTGTGTGTGTGTGTGTGTGTGTGTGTGTGTGTGTGTGTGCGTGTGCGTAAAATTTCAGATAGGAAAGAAAAAACGGAAAACTTATCCTAGTCGACGCGTTTTGTCCTCTGGGGCCTTATCATAACAAATGCAACGATTTTATTTTGTAGTAAGTATTCATAGGCAAGAGCAAAAATGTTGTTAGATTTTACAATTTTCAAAATTAAAGGAACGCTCATAAATATTCATCAGGTTAGCTGAAACCTCTAGGTAGATTATGGGGTACACTGAGTGACATAATTTAATGCCAAATAAACCAGAGTGAGTTTTTTTTTTTTGGCAAATTAATTACATTAATTAAATTATTTTAGTTTAGTATTAATTTAAATGTC